GGAAGGGATTACAAGAGAGTAAGCAGGCACACAATGGGGAATACACATTGAAAGGAATGTGTTAGCATTGGCTGTATGGTTAGTGCACTCACTGCATCCATGAGCCACTTAGGAGGCAAACAAAAGCCTTTAGTGTGAAACTGATTAGATTTTTGTTAGTGTCAGGCAGCAGCTAGCCAGAGGGTTCTAATCAACTAATTAAGGTCACAGAGCTGAGCTTGTTAACTTGCAGTTAGCACTTTTTAGGAGAGTGCTGTGCTGCAGAGAAAAGAAGCTCAGGAGGAGATAGCTTGTTTAGGTGATCTTTCCATTCTGCATTGGGGGGGGGGGGGAAAGAAAAAAATGGGTCAGGCACAGGACACCATGTACTAACTGACTGTAATGGTGAGCACATAACTGAGAGAGATGGTGTGAAGGTCATAAATGCAGGCATTGGTCACAGAGTTACTTTTTCATCATTGTCGCAACTGCATATGGTCACTGTCCAAGGCAGTCACTAAATGAGGACTACCTGTAGTCACTTTTAAGGAAGACCTTGACAAGTGCTGTCTGACCTGGTAGGGTCATTCTAACATGAATGAGCCCCAGTAGACCTGTCTGGTCTCAGTAGCTGCTGCTCACAAATTTAAATTTCTCACAATGTAATTCCTCAAACCTAAGACCACAGTAGGAATATCTAAGCTCCAGAACTCTGCTGAATTATATATTTTGGTTTCATTTCCTTCAGTTTGCTTAAAGGGGAGCATGGGGCAGACTGTCCCTGTTGCGTACCTAAAAACACTGGCTGCTGAAGTTTGGATGGATACAACAGACTTTATCTCAGTTTCAAGAAAGAGAGAGAGATGAACAAGCAGAGTTATTCTCTGTGCCCAAAACCTACATTTTCCCATTCTTTATTTGGTTATGCCAGAATCAAATGCAGAACAGGAGTTTTTGCAGAAAAAGAACAGCAGCATTTTTATGACACTACTGAGAAAATAGAGATTTTCAAACACAGGCCAAGATCTGTTAATCCTGTCTAATCTACAGTTTATAAACACAGAAACTTATCCCTGGCTAAAGCAGGCTTTGTACAGCATCCAGCACAGACACATTTTATTCTGCTTAAATGTGTTTACATTGATTTTCTATTTCCATTGCCAATAACATTTGCTCAGTAGAAAAGCTAAGTTGGTGAGTGCAGATCAGCAAAACTCAGACTTCAAAGAAGGAGTTTCAAATTCAGTTATCACAGTTACTATCTTGTTAAGCCTTTTTTCAGTACAAATACTATGCAACTGATTTAAAGACTGCAAGTCTCTAAGCACATTAAAAGTGGATGTATACATTTTTTATTGCTTTTCATGGCGAGCATACATCTCTCCATCTCTACGGTGCAAAAACGTCAGTTTTAATTATGGACATGAGAACTGAAGTTTAAAGACCCAAGAGATTGCTAGAAGAACATGTTTTATGTTTTACCACATGGAAAGGCAGCAGATCTCAAATACCAAATTCATTTCTAGAGCACATTGAGTTCTGGAAAGTTGGTAATAGTATAGACTAGCCTTCCCAAATTTAGCACTCTATAGATATGATGGACTGGAATTTCCTAAATCTGTAGGCAATAGAGCTGGAAGAGATATAGGCTGTGACCTCCGGGAATCATAGTCACATACATCAGGAAGGTATCAGATTTAGAAAGATTGTTGTAGGCAATACCACATACATTGTGACTGTAAAACCTTAATGCTTTATTTGTGGCTTTGAACATTTTGTGATCCAAGCCTTTTGTACATACACAGCCCATTCATGTGTTCATGTTCTGGACAAATGGATAGATTATTGAGCAACTGAGTGGTGACTGACTATGCATCACACAGAAACAAAGGATCTACAAAAGAAAACTAGGCAGAGGTTTTAA